TACCATAACATTTTGTGTATATTTCTGTGTATTTTTGTTTTAATTTTTTTTTTTAGGTTTTTTTTTTTTTTTTTGGTTTGGGGGCGGTAATTAGGTTTATTTATTTTTAGAGGAGGTACTGGGGATTGAACCCAGGACCTACTGCATGCTAAGCGTGCGCTCTAACACTTTGAGCTATACCCTCCCCTCTTAATTATAAAACTCTTAACTATAGAGACAAACAAAAGAACACATTTAATGTTGAAACCTCTCTTATTCTAGCATTAAGTAAGCAATGTTCATTCAAAGACCAGGAACTAACTGGAAAAAAGTCTTTCATTAAGATAAGTTCACACTTTACTTTCTATGTTTAATAACTGTTTATCAAAATTTGTAATACATTTAAATTATTTTGATCAACTGAAATTACACCTTCATCCAAAAGGAAAGAAAAGTATAGACATTTAAAGAGTTAGGCACAGGAAATTGAAAAAAAAAATCTTTTCATTTCAATTTATGTGTATATTTTTGTTGAAGTGAAATATGGCTTATCAATATAATCATATAAGACTTTCAAGCGTAAAAATGAAGCCCATTAAGATAAAATTCTGTGGCAGAAGAGAAATGAAATTATGTATTCAAGGAGAAAAAGGATGAAATAAAATTTCCAACTGTTAAGGAAGTACTTGTTCATATATTTTTTTAATGGATAATAGTAAATATTAAATTGCTATGGCATTTTGATTCCATTTGAAACATTTAAGAGAGCAATTCAATATGCTATAAATTTCATCGCTGGTAACTATTGAAACGTATAATGAACATTTTTCAAGGTCAAGTAGGTTTCTTTGAGGGAATACTGAATAAAAGTACTGGTCTCTTGACCAGTTGACCAGTTGAAACAAAAACAGATTCCTGAACCCCATGATAGATTTTAGTGAATCAAAATTGCCAACCATGGGTCTCAGAAACCTATGCTTTTAAAGCCACCCAGGTCCTCATACAGATGACCTGTAAGAGTGTTCTTTCTGGTAGTTAGGTGACAACACAAAGGAGAAGTGGAGTAGGGTTAATTTTAGGATGGAGAAGTATAAATACAAGTATTTGTGAATGAATAAATGTAAATCTATACTATGAAAACTTGAACTTTCAACATCATTTCTCCACATTCTTCCTCTCTTTTTCCACAAATGAGATAATAACTCATGAGTGAGATGATAAGGATGAAGGCAGACAGGCTATCAAGCGTTGCAAGGGGAAGGACTGAGGATATAGGAAAGAGCTGGAGGAAACAGCAAAGTTTGGAGGGGCTGCGTGCAGACATGAGAAAGAGGGAAGCTGTAGAAGCTCTGCTTTATTTACCCAGAGCCGCTGCTGAGGAAAATGACCTGCACTGATGAGCAAAATCGTGCAGAAGGTAACAAAAAGCAAACACAAATGGAGAAATAAAGATGGTAGGTTTCAACGGACTGATCCTCTATGTTAGTAAATAAAACATCAATAAAAACAGAGGAATAAATTAAACCACTGGACTACTATAGTCAATTCAAATAATTCAAGTGCTCAAATTTATTATGATAAAAGAAATGAGCTGTTATACTAGTTTGTTTCAAGTTTTCTGTCTGTCTGGCTTAGCATAATTTGCACATTGTAACCCAGAAGACCAAACGAATGCTTGACTATAAATAAGTAATAAAACACCTAGAAGCAGTCAGTTCAGTAAAAATCGCACCAAACTCCAGTTCAGGTAGAGATCAATTTACCAAATGACCAATGTGCTGATTTACCTAATTTAATCATTTAACAAAAATGTGTGTGTTTTATACCAATTTGTACAAGACAGAGCAATTTATTTTGAATGGGATAGTTTTTCAAAAGCTTTTGAAAATTCATACTGATTCTAGTTGTTTGGTCTTTTAGTATTTTTACTATTTCTATATTTTCTCCCATATTTAAATCTTTACATCAAACATTCCAAATCGGCTTAAAATTTTAAAATGTATGTACTGAGGCTCTCTAAGAGTTAGTAGGGCTCTTACTTTCTGATCATATGCTACCCATCTCTAGGAATTAGATTTCTGATATATGACTGAAGTAAAAAACGAACTGAAAATATTACATGAGATACATTAAAAAACCCTACACAAAGGGATTTTATACACACACACATAATACAGTTGAGTATTTTTCAGAACAGATGTATAGAAAAAGACTGAGATGAAAAGGAAGACATTCAAAAAAAAAAAGAGAGAGAAGCAAGAAAAGAAGAAAAAATTAGAAGAGCATTAGCAGATAGAAAAAAAAAAGGAAGGTCATATATTTCATTCTCTGACTTACATTGTAGGAGGACACCTGCTCGGCCAATCTCTTTTCCCTTTCTGACAATACATGTTCTTCATCCTTCTTATTGAATGATTTTTTTGCTTCTTGTGTCTCCTGAGGAATGAACACAGATAACACATTACTGAACCATATAATTAAGAGCAAACAAAAAAGACATACAATTATTTTTACTCAGATTGAGTAATAAGAGACTAAACTAAGCCAGGCCTGTTGAATCTCTTCTCACTAGAAATGTTAAGTTAATATACTTGATAAAGGATCTGTTAGTGTCCTACTCTAAGATTTTCCTGAAAACAAGAAAAGAAAACCCACCCCTATCCAACAGCCAATTGGGGTTTTATCAAATTCAGAGATGAGTCTGACAAACAAGATGAAATGCAGAAGAAAAATAAGGCTTAAGACGGGGAGGGTATAGCTCAGTGGTAGAGCGCACGCTCTGCATGCATGAGGTCCTAGGTTCCATCCCAAGTACCTCCACTAAAATAAATAAGTGAATAAATAAACCTAATTACCTTCATCCCCGAAATAAAAAACAAAACAAAAACAAAAAAAAGAAAGAAAGAAAAAAAATAAGGCTTAAGAGATTTTATGTTATCTGTTTTCAAAAACTAGGAGAAGCACTCTAAAAGGAAAAAAAAACAAAAAGAAATAAAGGGGGCATAGAAAAAATAAAAAATAAAAGAAAAACTATCTGAATGAATAACATAGATGACATGACTGTCTATGTAGAACACTCCAAAGAATCTATTAAAAACTCTTACGGACATTAGTAAGCAAGTATATAGCACAGCTGCAGGATACCAGGTTAACATACAAAATATACCAGCAATGAACAACTAGAATCTGAAATTTAAAAAGAAACACCATGTACCATAGCACACACACACAAATGAAATACTAAGGTACATTTCCAATAAATTTTAATTAGGAAAACAAAATTCTGGAGAATATAGTACCAACCAGGAATGAAGAAGGCCCGCATAAAAACAATTGAAAACCATTTTTCTCAAAGCATTTAATAGTATTCATACTTACTGTCCTCAAAACAGTATTATTACTGTTGCTATTTGCTCAAGAAAGCCAAGGAGGCCCCCATATAATCTTTATCTTAATAATGGGCTGAAACAACACTGTATTTAATAAAGTATGTTAAAAAACATAGGAATAGCTCATTTCTTATTTTTCCCTAAATTTTTTCTCAGAAACAGATTCTTTTACTTGTAAATATTAAGAGATAAATGATGCTCTGCTAAGATGGAGGTGAAAACCTGACCAGTTAAGAATTAGTCCATCTACTCAAGACGGGGAGGTGAGAACATAACAGGTCTTATTCAGTTAATCTGTGCATAACACTTCCATTTCTTCCTAAAGAGCAATCTTACTTCACTTAGGCCATTTGGCTAAGTGAATGTGAAAACAGTTGTGGTTCTAATGGGAGATGAATACTGGGAAATCAAATATAAAAAAGTAAGATGAAGTGGTGGAGAAAACCTACAAAAAGGAAATTTGGAGGGGGAAAAAAAAGGAAATCTGACAAGATCTGTTACAAATATCAAAAATTAGTCATGAACTTCATATAGGATAGCTCTGTGATGCTGTATCATTTGTACAACAAATATAAGCCTGTGAGTATATGCCATAATACAGCAACACATAAATTTAAGGGGTACGATAATCCCTTGTTGAGTCTGCTATAAATACAGAACAAAATACTTCCAGCCCTGAAATAAACGACGAGATCTAAAGAACTCAGTCAGAAGGCCTAAAATCACTGAAGTTCAAATTGTACTGGCTAGCTTCTGTTTATTTCATTTTTCTGTCGTATTTTCCTTTGAAGAACAATTCTTGCCTATCTGGCTTTCGGCTAGATGTCTATTCACCTACAATGAGGAACACGAGGACTGAAAAAAGCATGAATTAATGTAGGCACAAATAAAAAGTTCATGTAAGCAAAGGAAAGAAGTTGTCTTTTTGGAGATGATCTTAAAGGCTAAACAATAAAAGCGCCAATATGTTACTTTTATAAAAGACCAATTAAGAAAGAGTAGACAGGCATTTCAACACTAGTCATTCAGGGTGTGTGGCTCACTTCTATACCACATCTTTTGTTACCTATTTGCCCTCAGGTGTGTTGGTTCACCTTATCTTTCTATTACAACTCTTGGATTTCCTTGAATCCTCAGGGCAAAAGAGAATTTATGATTTTGCCATCTATTCAAGGTACAGTGCTAAAACGTGGAGATTTCCACATACCTTCCATGTTTTAAGAACAACATCGTCTATTTCACAATCAATTCTTCACTAAAATGAAAGTACCCTTCAGGGCTTTTTTCTATTACCTGTAACCAAATGGAATGCCTGGCAGAGGAGATATTCAATTTTGAGTCACAGAATGAAAACAGAACTCCTCATGATTCTAGGTACTCATGAACAAGATAAACAGAGTTAGAGGAATGAATTAAGTGTGAAACTGTTTAAATCAAAACTGACACAGCTATAATCATAAGGTGCCAATTAGTCAAGCATTTAAGATTTCAAAGGGACAGTTTAAGGAAACTGAAACCTTCAAATGGAGTAAATTTAAGGAGCAGTCCTGAGGACACTGGTTGGATTTGTAATTTACAATGGAATATTTTATAATAAATGGAAAGATGCAAAAAAAAAAAAAAGAAAATCTAACAGTAATGTATTTTATGCATACTTTCGGGGGTATTTTTTGGGTAAATTATTCAATGTATTAATGAAAGTGCTTTTTGCCTATCTTGGTGGGACCATGGAGTTTAGTGCTCTCGAGCTACTGTCATTTTCAGAGAGAGTCCCTACGTATCACTTAACTTGCTACCTTAATCGTGGCTTTGGCTTTTTTCAAAATACTTTAAAAGATAAACTTTCATGGAGATAGTATGCTGTATAAAGAAGGGGATTTGGAGTCAGAAAAGTCTATAATGGGATTACTGTTCACCACTTACCACATTTAATTCCAGAAAAATTGACCTCATAGAGGACAGTTTCCTTTATAAAATGAGGTCAATGAATCTATGTCTCCAGGTTCTTCTCAGATTTAAATGGGATAATTTATTGGGAAATAGTAAGCAAATACTCAGGAAGTAACTGGTGTCACTTTCTTTTCTTAGAACTTTTCTTCAGGGGAAATCTTTTCCCTTTGAAATTATAATTTAAAAAATAGTACACTTACCTAATTCTGCCTTATATTGTTTTCAAAATAGAGCCAACCTGGACAGAAATACAGGAACAAACAGACCCTCTCACCTTAGCTTTTCTTTCCCTGTCGGCTGGCGTATCTGTCCAGACTGAGCGATCTGCAGACTTGTCATCTGCTCTTCTCTTGAAAGTTCTGGGCCCAAGACCAAAGTCTTTCATTTCTGGAGGAAGTTCTGTCATCCAAGACTCTCTGGTAATTGGTTTAGATGAATCCTTTAAGAGAAATAAAAAATTAAATTAAAAAAAAGTAGCCTGGAAAATGTTGTATGTATGTAGAATACTGTACAAGTGACTGTTTCTCAATTGAGGCTTGAAAATTAATTAACAGACTTTAAGAGAAAGAATTTAATAGATGATTGATGTTTGTGGTCATGTTATAAATATTTTCATCTAATTTACTATTCCCTAGACTTCACGTTATCTTTTGCCATACAGAAATTTTTAAGTAGGCAAATTTGCCAGTTTTTTCCTTTTATAGCTTCTGAGTTACCTAGATCCTAAATTTTTATATACATACATATACCTACAAATGTACATACACATGTTTTTTTAAAGTCCATTTTTCAAATTTAGATTTTTAATCTATTTAGCCGATTTCTCAGAGTAAAGTGTATTGTATATTTAAGACTTACGTCATCTCCTTTAGCCAGTTTTTCTTTCATTCTCTGGGCTCTTTTTTCAAACTCTGTGGTTACACTATAGTTAACTGGTCCTTTGGCAGGCATCGGTCCAATGATGTCCTCCTCTTCACTGCTATCTGTTTCCTTCTGAAATAAGACGTTACTTTTAAATCGACTGGAGCTACAGGTTATAGAAAATGATCCTAAAATTACAAAAGAAAAAAGTGAACACTGTGTTGCTGGCTAATCACTGAGCAGTGAGCACTTTTTCTGGGCTTTCCTCAAGTGCAGGTACAGAGATGACAAATCCAGGGCATGTGGATTGTCCCATCTCCTCTCCTATGTCTATGGCAGACCTCGGTGACTTATTTCAGCTCTCTTCCTGATGGACACAGATGTGGCCTCACAATTCCTCTCAACGTTAATATTCCAGGAAATTAGTAACAAGTGATCAGAAATGACACAAGTTGAAACCATTTTCATTCCTGCTGTAAGATGCACACAAGTAAGACATTCTGGGAAGCTGTGTCAGCCTTCATGGTTTAGTATAGTCCACTGAAATGGAAATGTTGTGCAATACCTCACAAAATGCTGGGCTGAATGAGTTAATTTGGTTCCCAAAGTACCCCTCTTCTACCCCCAAAGACATACTAGTATTCCAATAATTGAATTCAATTAGTTCGTAGTAAATCATTTTAATAAAGGGTTTTCATGTAAGACTCTGTGTTAGATGCTATACACAGTAGGGATTAAAATAGTTCTTGTCCTCAAGCAGGAGAGAGAGAAAGATAAAGAACAATAAGACGTTTGTTCTCCAGCTCTGACAGGCAGCTTCCTCCTCTTATTTTTTCAAACTACCAGGATTAGGTGTTCATTTGTGTTGTTTGTTTTCCCTGCTAACCACTCAGTGGTAACTCTCTATCCATAGTTTCTTCTCCAAACACGGATAGCAACTGCTTTTGGTGCAAATAACTAGATAATTACAGTCTTGTGGCTTACCCTTACTCTCTCACACACCCCTTAGTAACTATGGATTTTGGTAGACAGTGTTTCATTTGAACTTCATAACAAAACTGTGAAATGGCATTATTATTCCTGTTTCCTTTTTGGGGAAACCTAGGTTTAGAGAAGCATATTTTGAAAGGTTAAACAGCTTCTTTGAGGTTATAAAACTAGTATCCAAGACTCATATTCTAAGATCAAGGCCAGTATTTTTTCTACTTGTACTATAGCAGTCCCTCTATTTTCTTTATTTCAACTGCCAACGATTTAACTTTAAATGTTTATAGCTTACCTTTACAATAGTAAGCTCTCAGCAAAGACATTATCTCAAACATATTTATAGTCCCCTACAAATATAATACTTGGTGATATAAAACAAATAGCTATAAAAGATACACCCAAACAACGTCCTACTGTATAGCACAGAGAACTGTATTTGATACCTTGTGAGCAGGAGGGTATAGCTCAGTAGTAGAGTACGTGCCTAGCAAGCACAAGGTCCTGGGTTCAATTCCCAGCACTTCCATAAATAAATAAATAAATGAATAAGTAAAACCTAACTACCGCCCACCCCCAATGAAAAAAAAGTGTACACAGTATTGTATGCCAATTATATCTCAATAAAACTTCAAGGAAAAAAAAGTTTATAATAGCCTATAATGAAAAAGAATATGAAAAGGAATATGTATGTGTGTAAATGAATCATTATGCTGTACACCAGAAATATTAACACATTATAAATCGACTATACCTCAATCAAAAAAAAAAAAGAGATACACTGGGGGAGGGTATAGCTCAAGTGGTAGAGCACACGCTTAGCATGCACAAGGTTCTGGGTTCAATCCCTAGTACGTCCTCCAAAAATAAATAAACCAACCCAATTACCTCCCTCTCAAAAAAAAAATACACAAAACTTTTAATACTATAAGAGACATGACATCAATATAGTATTGAAGTTTAGGATGATGGGGTAATAAGCTAATGATATTCATACTTCCATCTAATAAGAGATGGTTTTATAAAGGCAAATGCCTGAAATTTTTGAAATAAAAATCACTTAGAACAGTGGGAGACATAAATTAAATGGGTAGATGAAGGAACAGATAAAATCAAACCCAACACAGTAAACTGAAAACGAGAACTCGGAATCATAAACCCAAATCCAATCTAGGTATCAAATCATTTTGGTGTCCTGGATGAGTATTTTTTTTTTTTAAAAGGTGAGGATTTTGCTTCTTTTTTTTTAAAGGTTCGGTTATTTTATCCAGAAATAAAGAGAAATTATGAACTTTACTGGTTTACAGTTTGGACTGGAGAGTTAGACAGATGTAGTTTCAAGGCTGCAATTTGCTGTCATTATCAGCCCTGTGACCTCAACCACGTTATTCAACCTTTCTAGGCTTGGTTTTGTCTTTCAGTTGGGGATTATAATAGCTCCAACCAATAACCACTCTGCTGCTAAGGTAACCCTGTGTTTTGCACATTCTTTTCAGAATCATGTTCTTCTGAGGAAACTGGGACCTTCTCTAATTCTGGGGGAAATGCTGATAATTCTAAGTCAATCACTTTGGTCTCATTCCTCCTGCCCAACTGACTGGCTTGGTGTGGGCCTATGATTCAATTTTGGCCAAAGAAATATGAGGAGAGGTCTACAGGAAACCTGGAAAGGTTTTCCTCTCTCTAAAAAGGATGCACAGGACCATTCCCCTTCTACCCTTGGACACTGCCATCTGCATGTGAATCTCAATGCTGGTAGGCTTTTGTATAACGAAGGGGTCAGCCTAAGAGGAATAAACATATTGTGGATGTCAGAGAAGGCATAAAAACCTGGGGCCTGGGTGCTCTCACTGGACTGCTGAATTGGCCAAGCCTGGAATGACCCTACCTCTAGACCTCTTCTTATGTATGAAACATATTTTCCTTATTTTGGGAATACAGATTATAGACCACCCAGAAAGTTCTATAAACAACCCATTTGCTAACTAAGGAGGTTAAGACAAAGTTTCATTGTGAGTTGGACTTTCTGTCATTAGCAGCTAAAAGCACTCTAGCTGATGGGAAGCAAGCCACGTAAATATCTAGGGGAGGGCCATTTTGGAGAGACACGGGTATGAAGGCTTGGGGTAGAAGCCTGCCAGGCATATTTAAGGAGGTGCAGCAAGGAGCCCAGGGTAGTTAGATCAAAGTAAGAGAGGAAATCAAGGAGTTAATGGAGGTCAGATTGCAGAAGGCCCTGTAAGGACGCTGGCTGTTACGCAGAGAGAGGAGAAACAAGACAGTTCTGAGTGTGAGTGACACGATCTGACTATTTCACCTGGGCCACTCTAGCTGCTGTGTTGAGAAGAGGTAACAGAAAAACAAAGGCAAATGCAAATCTCAGCTATTGTTAAGGACCAGGCCTCTAACAAGACAGCAGACTTCCTCCTTGACTCCAAAATCATGCCATCTCTCTTTTCCAAAAATCATGTATCCGGCAGTGACCTTCCTATACACAGGTACCAAAGCCGGGTAGGAGATAAAGATCATTATTAAAAAATTCCTCAGCTTTCTCTCTTCTGAGTCAAATCACAAAAATTCCTTCAACTTTTCATTATGCTCTATTTTCTAGCATTTTAAAGCTTCTCTTCAAGGATGAGAACCATGCATAGGTAATGCCCTGTCAACACTGAGATGGTATTTTTCAAACAGAATCTCAGGTCTATGACACCTTTTGATTTCACCTACCTATGCTACAATCTGAAATTAATCTGAATATGACGTATCTTTCATTACATTTGAGTCAAATGATTATAGTCACTACTATGTAAAGTCTTGAGTTCGCTACAACTCATTCTTTAATAGAAAAATTTCCAAACCTCAGAGTTGAAATATGATGACACGTGTCCTGGATCACCTTTGCCTTTGTCACTTTTCTGTGTAGATTTAATAAAACCAGGTGGTAATGCAGGACCTATTATGGGCCTGAAAAATAAAATGAACCTTTATCATTCTCCCTGACTAAAAAGTCAGCTTTCAGAATAAAACCTCACACAAACAATAAAAATCCAGAAAATACAATTGTTGAAAATGAGAATTTTATTCAATACTATTATTATTACTCTAAACCTAATATTTTTTCACTTATTATCATAAAAAATCTAATTTTTGCATTTTAGCTTTCTACTTGTTAGTCAATGATTAGATACTAAACCTATAATTCTCAATCTCTGGCAGTGGTGTGTTCCTACTTCTTAAAAGAATTATCTTAAATAAAAATCATAATTAAAAAAAGTCCTATGTCCATGAATGACTGAAAAATTGTGCTGAACACTGGAATTTGACACAACACTGTAAAATGATTATGAATCAATAAAAAATGTAAAAAAAAAAAAAGTCCTTATTATGGACTAAAGCTTGTGAAGGTCTTTTTTTATTTTGTCCCATGGCTTTCAGTGTTGCTATTTACTGTCCAGTGACACTTAGGGGCATTATAATTACAGTCAGAACTGCTTTGGTATAAATTGAGCCCTACAGACATACATAGACGTTTATGGCTACATGCGCCAAGGCAGTAAAAAAATCTAAACACTGTCCTCACAAAGAATCCGACAATGACATGGAAATGTGTAAGAACGAAAATAGCTAATTTGAGATCCACAGATAAGGAAAAGGTAATATGTGAAGGATATTTCAATCAGTGCACTTTTCTCTTTCCTTAAAAAACCCTGGTTGGTAAGTCACTCCATTTTCTGTGGGAGCAAAATAATGCCCAAGAATAACACAAACTAGTAAGTGACAGAGCTGGAGTTTGAATCCTGGTCTATCTGATGCCAAAGTTCACTTTCTTTCAAGCTGCCCCACTGCCACATTCTGAGGGAACTGACATCTATTCAGAAGGGAAAACTGCCTAAATTCTGGGTCTAAAAAAGAGAAAGCTTTACTTTATGTATGGAAAAAATAAAAGAGGAATGATACTTTCTACTCTCTTTCATAAAGTTTCTCCTGTCTTCCTTTGTTTTTTCTCTAGAGATGTCCCTGGGCCAGTATTACCAACTAAGACGGCACTGAAGTCTTAAGCTGAATTTTCCAGATTGCGCTGTGTTCATTTAGAGTCTTACAGACATGCTTCCTGGTAGGGCGAAAACAGTACTAAGAGTCACAGGGTCTGATTCCGGCCAATTACTTCTTGCCTTTGCTCATAAAACTGCTTTGAACCAAAACAATTTTGCAAATGAAAAATGCAGAAATGTGGCATTGTTAGAAAGAGCAAATTAGTTATCATTTATTAAGTATAAGGAAGTACTGTATGAGTTTTTTCTGAGTACAGTTTCTAGCAGATCTACAAATGCAATTACAGCTCCATTTTCTGGCCTCAGGGAATCTGTGAGGATAAAATTAGTAATACATAAAATCTGAAAATA